TCGAGTCATCATCTCACACAAGCTACACGGTTTCTGGCCACCATAATCACACTTTTTCTGGCACTGTGTTTATAACTCGCTAGACTGACTTTCGCGCGTCAAAATGGGAATTACTCTGGAGTTACCTGTGCTCCAGCGGCTGTGCGGAAATTGTCACTACTGGTGCTACTGACGTTCCGGCTCACGTGATCTGAAATAAGAAAGAAAATATTGAGACAGAGACATTTAAGAGAGTTTAGTGAAAACGTCAGTGTTTATGTTTGAGAGGAAAGTTGTATTGCACAAGGGTTTTTAACTGGGTGAACGTTTCGCTCTGTTAGAGCTTTATAAAGTCGGTTACTTTATTAAACTTAAAGGCTGTTGAGTTGAGGCGGGTCATTAGGGCTGTGTAGTCTTAAATTCCTCTCCAGTGGATGCTTAACCAGTGTCAAGTAACACTCGTTGTTTCTGACCAGCAACACACACCCACCACCTTAGTACTAGTGTCAAGTAACACTGTGGTGAGGAATTAGACACATGTACAACATCTGGATATCTTAATTTGTAGACGTTTCGCCATCCAGTGGCTTTACCAATACAAGGACATAATGTGAAGACTGTCCTTGTATTGATAAAGCCAATGGACGGCGAAATGTCTACAAATTAAGATACCCAGATGTTGTACACGTGTCTTAGTCTTCACGTTGTCTGTACTGTGTACCATTCATATATAACATTGTATCCTAACCAATAACACCACCACCAAAATCTAAGTACCAGTCTCAAGTAACACTTGTGGTGTTTCCTGAGCAATCAAACACCAAGTAATAACAACAATAATAATAATAATAATAATAATAATAATAATAATATATACAAAGTCTGTTGTTATGTCGAGCATTTTCCGCAAATTAGGTCAGTTTTGCCCCGGGATGCGACCCACACCAGTTCAGGCACGCATTTTACTGAGAGGGGAACATAAGACAACCGGTATAAACACACCCAATGTTTCCACCCTCGCCGGGAATCGAACCTGGGCCCTCGCCACACATAACAAGAAAGCAAAACAGATGGTGTGGTAGTTGATAATAAGCGTCAGGTGTGTTTACTCTCAACGCGGCCATAAACACACACAAGCGCACATACATGAATACACACAACACCAGCACTAGAACTAAAGAATTCTGGACAAACACAACACCAGCACTAGAACTAAACAATTCTGGACAAGATTTTTATGATTTTTTTAATGGTAAATACAAAAAAATAGTCTGTTAGCGACTTTAAGATCTTCTAAGTAAACAGCGAAGAGCAAGCAACCGTTTATCTGGTAAGACGAGTTGTAATTAATTCTGCCTGTTTGCGAATTGTTAAACAGTAGCAGTGATTGCTGTTACGTAGCAGTGAGGAGTAATATTATGTAGCAGTGAGCGTTGTTACGTAGGAGAGTGCTAATGTTACGTAGCAGTGAGGAGTAATATTATGTAGCAGTGAGCGTTGTTACGTAGGAGAGTGCTAATGTTACGTAGCAGTGAGCGTTGTTACGTAGGAGAGTGCTAATGTTACGTAGCAGTGAGCACTAATGTTACGTAATATCCATACAATTCTCCCTATATCTTATTTAAAGACGAAATACATTGACAAAAATACAGTAGGGAGTAGAATTCTACAGCATAGATAATAACTCAGAGCTACATCTCGAATACTTTGTCCAGCTCCCCGGCGGTGAGCCGCGTGCCCAGAATGCTGCAGGCATTTCCCCTCTGGATCGCAACACTGAGTCCCTGAAAGAGGAAGCTGGCTGCCCTGTGGTCCTTGATTTCTATGATGAGCTATTCACCCAGCTCTTTGAGGAACTTTAGAGCACACTTGCCCCATGTTCCTCCAAGGGTCTCCGACCCTATCGGGATTAAGTTATTGCAAAGGGGAAGGTCTTCATATTTGCGGGTCTTCTGGGTCTCCTGTACACACACACACACACCAATATATAGATATATAATATATATATATATAATATATATATATTATATATATATAAATATATATTATATATATACCTAAGGCAGAGAATGGAAAGTTAAGGAGAGGAGCAAGTCAGTGGGTTTACAGCTGTTGTCAGTTTCATTAGCAGCATGTGTTTCTTAACTAATAAGATTGAGTTGCACCACATTGCTCGGTAGTGAGTTTAGACAGTGTCTACACCTTGCCAATGCTGGGTAGTGAGTTTAGACAGTGTCTACACCTTGCCAATGCTGCGTAGTGAGTTTAGACAGTGTCTACACCTTGCCAATGTACTTAGCATTCCCTTGGTGGTTGCTGAAACGTCCTGCCGAGGTGAGAAACACCTTAGCAACATGTAACCTGGAATTCCAGGTTACATGGACACTAAATACACAAAACCGGACTGGAACACTTTTTGTGTATAATTGTACAATAATTTAATACCATTTTTGGAACAATTCACACACGAAAACTTAACTAACAAAGATTATTATAATCAAAAAGAAGCGCTAAACCACAAGGGCTATACAGCAACTGACAAAGAAACAAGAGACCTTGTTCTGACCTTTCTAGAACCATTGTTAGTAACTACAATACCATAATTAGTAACTACAATACCATAATTAGTAACTACAGTACCATTATTAGTAACTACAATACCATAATTAGTAACTACAGTACCATTATTAGTAACTACAATACCATAATTAGTAACTACAATACCATTATTAGTAACTACAATACCATAATTAGTAACTAAAGTACCATTATTAGTAACTACAATACCATTATTAGTAACTACAATACCATTATTAGTAACTACAATACCATAATTAGTAACTACAGTACCATTATTAGTAACAATACCATAATTAGTAACTACAATACCATTATTAGTAACTACAATACCATTATTAGTAACTACAATACCATTATTAGTAACTACAATACCATAATTAGTAACTACAGTACCATTATTAGTAACTACAATACCATTATTAGTAACTACAATACCATTATTAGTAACTACAATACCATTATTAGTAACTACAATACCATTATTAGTAACTACAATACCATTATTAGTAACTACAATACCATTATTAGTAACTACAATACCGTTATTAGTAACTACAATACCATTATTAGTAACTACAATACCATTATTAGTAACTACAATACTATTATTAGTAAGTACAATACCATTATTAGTAACAATACCATTATTAGTAACTACAATACCATTATTAGTAACAATACCATTATTAGTAACTACAATACCATTATTAGTAACAATACCATTATTAGTAACTACAATACCATAATTAGTAACTACAATACCATTATTAGTAACTACAATACCATAATTAGTAACTACAATACCATTATTAGTAACTACAATACCATTATTAGTAACTACAATACCATATTAGTAACTACAATACAATATTAGTAACTACAATACATTATAGTAACTACAATACCATTATTAGTAACTACAATACCATTATTAGTAACTACAATACCATATTAGTAACTACAATACCATATTAGTAACTACAATACCATTATTAGTAACTACAATACCATAATTAGTAACTACATATACCATTATTAGTAACTACAATACCATAATTAGTAACTACAATACCATTATTAGTAACTACAATACCATTATTAGTAACTACAATACCATTATTAGTAACTACAATACCATTATTAGTAACTACAATACCATTATTAGTAACAATGCCATTATTAGTAACTACAATACCGTTATTAGTAACTACAATACCGTTATTAGTAACTACAATACCATTATTAGTAACTACAATACCATTATTAGTAACTACAATACCGTTATTAATAACTACAATACCATTATTAGTAACTACAATACCATTATTAGTAACTACAATACCATTATTAGTAACAATACCATTATTAGTAACTACAATACCGTTATTAGTAACTACAAAACCATTATTAGTAACTACAATACCATTATTAGTAACTACAATACCATTATTAGTAACTACAATACCGTTATTAGTAACTACAATACCGTTATTAGTAACTACAATACCATTATTAGTAACTACAATACCGTTATTAGTAACTACAATACCATTATTAGTAACTACAATACCGTTATTAGTAACTACAAAACCATTATTAGTAACTACAATACCATTATTAGTAACTACAATACCATTATTAGTAACTACAATACCGTTATTAGTAACTACAATACCATTATTAGTAACTACAATACCATTATTAGTAACTACAATACCATTATTAGTAACTACAATACCATTATTAGTAACTACAATACCATTATTAGTAACTACAATACCATTATTAGTAACTACAATACCATTATTAGTAACTACAATACCATTATTAGTAACTACAATACCATTATTAGTAACTACAATACCATTATTAGTAACTACAATACCATTATTCATTAAGTACTTTCACGTCCACAAGTATAAGAGAGTCATGTAAACAGAGACAGAGAAAGAGAGACATAATTATAATCATGGGAAGCGCTAAACCCATAGGATTATACAGCGCGTGTGGGGGGGGGTGGAAGGTATTCAGGCTTAATTCAGGGAACTGGAGCACAGATCCAATTCCCTAGATCAAGAGTCCCTCACCAGCGTCAAGGAACCCCCCTTGAGAGGTAGACAGAGAGACGGAGAGAGACAGAGAGAGAAAGAGATACCTCTCAGTGTGCTGCTTAACATTTCGCAAACGGGCGAAATTATTTACAAACATTATCTCTCTATCCACAGCAGGATTCGAACCTGCACACAAAGTACACAGTACTTAAGCCAGCTTTCTAGGATCTGGCTGAGTGGCTCAAGTACTGTGCACTGTGATGCAGAATGTGTGGGTTCGAATCTTGACTCAGTTAATGGTCACAAATCAATACTTTCTTCCCGTTTATTTATCGTCATTATTTTGTCAGTGACGTAGCTCGATTGGTAGCGCACTCGGCTCACATACTGATGTCAGGGGTTCGATCCCCGGTACGGGTGGAAACATTACGACGTGTTTCCATAAGATATCTGCTGCCTATGTTCACCTAGCAGTAAAATAGGTACCTGGGTGTTAGTGGATTAGTGTGGGTCGCATCCTGGAGACAAAATTGACCTAATTTGCGGGAAATGCCCAGCATAACAAGTGACTTTCTATATAGTAATATGTCAGCTATGGTCTGTATACCTTGTACATGTACTGGTAGTAAATACAGATATTATTATTATTATTATTATTATTATTATTAATTATTATTTAATATAGATATTAATAATTAATAATAATATTTAATAAAGACATTTAATATATCAAATTAAGAAATACTGAGTAATAAGCAGCCTGACAGTTACATTGATAACCATAATTTTAAATGGAGTGGTAAGCCAGCGGAAGGCCTCGGTCAGATGGCCAAAAGCTCCAGCTGTGGGTCATCATATAACTAAAACCCGCGCCAGGAAACACTTGCCCTGTTTCCTGATAAATAATATACCTATTAATAAATATTATTATTATTATTATTATTATTATTATTATTATTATTATTATTATACTGCTAGGGAAACTCTGATCCTGTAAGTCATACCACTCTTGATCCTTGGATCAAGAGCCCTTCACCCCTTTTGAAGGGACAACACAGAAATAGACAAAAAAAAATATAGCTTGGAATATAATATTTATCTTCGTTACCGCTATAACAAAGAAAGAAAACGAAAAAGTTCTCTATAAAAGGTGACAGAATTAAAGTTTTCTGTAACTGAGAGCGTAAACTAAAGTAAACTTTGCGATTTATTTATATTATTTGTGCATACTGTATAAACCTGGTTAATGGGGTTTAAAGTCTGTCTACTACACGTGGGTCATTAAAGTAGGTTAATGGGGGTTTAAAGTCTTATCTACCACACGGCGAGGGTGTGCGTTCGATTCCCAGCGAGGGTAGAAACATTGGGCGCGTGTTTCTTTACACCAGTTGTTTATGCTCACCCATCAGTAAAACTGGTACCTGGGTGTTAGTAGACTGGTGTGGGTCGCATCCTGGGTGTTAGTAGACTGGTGTGGGTTGCATCCTGGGTGTTAGTAGACTGGTGTGGGTCGCATCCTGGGTGTTAGTAGACTGGTGTGGGTTAAGATAAGATAAGATAAGATTTCGTTCAGATTTTTAACCCCAGAGGGTTAGCCACCCAGGATAACCCAAGAAAGTCAGTGCGTCATCGAGGACTGTCTAACTTATTTCCATTGGGGTCCTTAATCTTGTCCCCCAGGATGCGACCCACACCAGTCGACTAACACCCAGGTACCTATTTGCTGCTAGGTGAACAGGACAACAGGTGTAAGGAAACGTGTCGGAATGTTTCCACCCACCGGGAATCGAACCCGGGCCCTCCGTGTGTGAAGCGGGAGCTTTAGCCACCAGGCACCAGGCCACTAGCCACCAGGCCACCGGGCCATGTACATGTACAAATAAATATATTATTATTAATGGGGTTTAAAGTCTATCTACTACACGAGGGTCATTAAGACTCCATATGGAGATTTAATTAAAGACTGTCTACTGCAACACAATAAGTGTCCGGGGCCCAAGACTGTTCAATTGCCTCCCAGCATACATAACGGGGATTACCAATAGACCCCTTGGCTGTCTTTAAGACCCCTGACTGTCTTCAAGACCCCTGGCTGTCTTCAAGACCCCTGGCTGTCTTCAAGACCCCTGGCTGTCTTCAAGACCCCTGGCTGTCTTCAAGACCCCTGGCTGTCTTCAAGACCCCTGGCTGTCTTCAAGACCCCTGGCTGTCTTCAAGAAGGCACTGGACAGGCACCTAAAGTCAGTACTTGACCAACCGGGCTGTGGTTCGTACGTCAGCTTGTGTGCGGCTAGCAGTAACAGCCTGGTTGATCAGACCCTGATCCACCATGAGGCCTGGTCTCAGGCCGGGCCGCGGGGGCGTTGACCCCCGAAACCCTCTCCAGGTATACTTGGGTAATTAAAGTTGATAACAGCCTGATTAACCAGTTTATTACTGTTGGGGGAAAAGATTATCGTTTTGCCTTAATGACGCTAGTACAGTCGATAGGATTTAAACCTTTCCTTATTAAACACAGTGGTATTTTGTCTTATTTCGTTTGTGTCACCTGCAGTACCTGCTGGTGGCGACGCTGGCGGCGGCGTCCACAACACAAGCAGATAAACATCCCGATGGAGGACACAGTTCCGGAATTCCGGCCAACGCCGACGGCATCTTCGGAGAACGCATCAAGATTCGTGAACAGATACCCTCGTTAGGTTCCCAGAGCCGAGGTGGCGGTGGGTCAGGATCAGGGGAAGACCTGACTAGTTCCTACACCTCCTTAGATGTGCGAGGTGACATTACCTTTCCTAGTTTGTCTAAAGACTTGGCTGACAGCCGGTCCCCGGCCAGCCAGGCCAAACAGTCGAGTAAGCAGACAGACCAGACACAGGCAGTAATTCAAACTTTTGGTAGTTTGAAACAGACACAGACTCCCCAGACATATCCAGCCCCTTCGTCTTTAAACAGTAATCAGGTGAGTCACTAACAGTCTGTAATATGTGATGAATGGTTTGAAAAACCGACAAGTTGAAGATTGAGACACTTATGCAGCATATGGGAATCTTTATTCAGGAAACGTTTCGCCACACAGTGGCTTCATCAGTCCAATACAAAGAGGAAGGCGTAAGGAGAGGAGGAGTATGAGGTAATCAGTCCCTCAGCCTGGAGTCGATGTGTTCAGTCCATCAATCTTGTAGAAGCCACGTCTACGGCCCTTTGCTGTACATTCTACAAGATTGATGGACTGAACACATCGACTCCAGGCTGAGGGACTGATTACCTCATACTCCTCCTCTCCTTACGCCTTCCTCTTTGTATTGGACTGATGAAGCCACTGTGTGGCGAAACGTTTCCTGAATAAAGATTCCCATATGCTGCATAAGTGTCTCAATCTTCAGTCTGTAATATGTAAATTAGTTGATGACTGAGACAAAGGTACAACAGATGGGTACCATCATTTGAATGGTGTCATTGGGTACGGGAGTTATTTCTTGGGTATCTTTAGGTAGTGGTCGTTGTTTTGATAAGGACCTGCCTCGCATGGGCCAGTAGGCCTTCTGCAGTGTTCCTACATTCTTATGTTCTTATTACTGTTGTGCAAGACAGGTATACAATACAATACAGTCCCTGGACCCATTATGTACCTCTGTAATGTTGAGGTACAGTCCCTGGACCCATTATGTACCTCTGTAATGTTGAGGTACAGTCCCTAGACCCATTATGTACCTCTGTAATGTTGAGGTACAGTCCCTGGACCCATTATATACCTCTGTAATGTTGAGGTACAGTCCCTGGACCCATTATGTACCTCTGTAAAGTTGAGGTACAATCCCTAGACCCATTATATACCTCTGTAATGTTGAGGTACAGTCCCTGGACCCATTATGTACCTTTGTAATGTTGAGGTACAGTCCCTAGACCCATTATGTACCTCTGTAATGTTGAGGTACAGTCCCTAGACCCATTATGTACCTCTATAATGTTGAGGTACAGTCCCTGGACCCATTATGTACCTCTGTAATGTTGAGGTACAGTCCCTAGACCCATTATGTACCTCTGTAATGTTGAGGTACAGTCCCTGGACCCATTATATACCTCTGTAATGTTGAGGTACAGTCCCTGGACCCATTATGTACCTCTATAATGTTGAGGTACAGTCCCTGGACCCATTATGTACCTCTGTAATGTTGAGGTACAGTCCCTAGACCCATTATGTACCTCTGTAATGTTGAGGTACAGTCCCTGGACCCATTATATACCTCTGTAATGTTGAGGTACAGTCCCTGGACCCATTATGTACCTCTGTAATGTTGAGGTACAGTCCCTAGACCCATTATGTACCTCTGTAATGTTGAGGTACAGTCCCTGGACCCATTATGTACCTCTGTAATGTTGAGGTACAGTCCTTGGACCCATTATGTACCTCTGTAATGTTGAGGTACAGTCCCTAGACCCATTATGTACCTCTGTAATGTTGAGGTACAGTCCCTAGACCCATTATGTACTTCTGTAATGTTGACGTACAGTCCCTGGACCCATTATGTACCTCTGTAATGTTGAGGTACAGTCCCTAGACCCATTATGTACCTCTGTAATGTTGAGGTACAGTCCCTGGACCCATTATGTACCTCTGTAATGTTGAGGTACAGTCCCTGGACCCATTATGTACCTCTGTAACGTTGAGATACAGTCCCTAGACCCATTATGTACCTCTGTAATGTTGAGTTACAGTCCCTAGACCCATTATGTACCTCTGTAATGTTGAGGTACAGTCCCTGGACCCATTATGTACCTCTGTAATGTTGAGGTACAGTCCCTGGACCCATTATGTACCTCTGTAACGTTGAGATACAGTCCCTAGACCCATTATGTACCTGTGTAATGTTGAGTTACAGTCCCTAGACCCATTATGTACCTCTGTAATGTTGAGGTACAGTCCCTAGACCCATTATGTACCTCTGTAATGTTGAGGTACAGTCCCTAGACCAATTATGTACCTCTGTAATGTTGAGGTACAGTCCCTAGACCCATTATGTACCTCTGTAATGTTGAGGTACAGTCCCTGGACCCATTATGTACCTCTGTAATGTTGAGGTACAGTCCCTAGACCAATTATGTACCTCTGTAATCTTCTGACTACCGTCCCCAGGATGGGTATTGGCTGCATAATAAATCAAACTAATTAACATTATCTTACGCTAATTCTATATCTGGTTCGTGTTTGTGTTATTCTGAAGCTAATTAACAAATTAAACTAATATGCCGAACTATACTTTACAGTACACTGAGGCCAAGCAAAGGTCCCAGACCGTCGGTGCTCCACAACAGTCTTCACAGACCTTCGGTGCTCCACAACAGTCTTCACAGAGCTATGGTGCACCACAGAAGCTTTCACAGAGCTATGGTGCTGCACAACAGTCTTCACAGAGCTTTGGTGCACCACAGAAGCCTTCACAGAGCTTTGATTCAGCACAGCAGCCTTCACAGAGCTATAGTGCTCCACAGCAGCCTTCACAGAGCTATGGTGCTCCACAGAAGCCTTCACAGAGCTATGGTGCTCCACAGAAGCCTTCACAGAGCTATGGTGCTCCACAGAAGCCTTCACAGAGCTACAGTGCTCCACAGCAGCCTTCACAGAGCTATGGTGCTCCACAGCAGCCTTCACAGAGCTATGGTGCACCAAAGAAGCCCTTACAGAGCTATGGTGCTCCACAACAGTCTTCACAGAGCTTTGGTGCTCCACAGCAGTCTTCACAGAGCTTTGGTGCTCCACAGCAGTCTTCACAGAGCTTTGGTGCCCCACAGCAGCCTTCACAGAGCTATAGTGCTCCACAGCAGCCTTCACAGAGCTATAATGCTCCACAGCAGCCTTCACAGAGCTATAGTGCTCCACAGCAGCCTTCACAGAGCTATAGTGCTCCACAGCAGCCTTCACAGAGCTATAGTGCTCCACAGCAGCCTTCACAGAGCTATAGTGCTCCACAGCAGCTTCACAGAGCTATAATGCTCCACAGCAGCCTTCACAGAGCTATAGTGCTCCACAGCAGCCTTCACAGAGCTATAGTGCTCCACAGCAGCCTTCACAGAGCTATAGTGCTCCACAGCAGCCTTCACAGAGCTATAGTGCTCCACAGCAGCCTTCACAGAGCTATAGTGCTCCACAGCAGCCTTCACAGAGCTACAGTGCTCCACAGCAGCCTTCACAGAGCTATAGTGCTCCACGACAGCCTTCACAGAGCTATAGTGCTCCACAGCAGCCTTCCCAGAGCTACAGTGCTCCACAGCAGCCTTCACAGAGCTATAGTGCTCCACGACAGCCTTCACAGAGCTATAGTGCTCCACAGCAGCCTTCACAGAGCTATAGTGCTCCACAGCAGTCTTCACAGAGCTATAGTGCTCCACGGCAGCCTTCACAGAGCTATAGTGTTCCACGGCAGCCTTCACAGAGCTATAGTGCTCCAAAGCAGCCTTCACAGAGCTATAGTGCTCCATGGCAGCCTTCACAGAGCTATAGTTCTCCAAAGCAGCTTTCACAGAGCTATAGTGCTCCAAAGCAGCCTTCACAGAGCTATAGTGCTCCAAAGCAGCCTTCACAGAGCTATAGTGCTCCACGGCAGCCTTCACAGAGCTATAGTGCTCCAACGCAGCCTTCACAGAGCTATAGTGCTCCACAGCAGTCTTCACAGAGCTATAGTGCTCCACAGCAGCCTTCACAGAGCTATAATGCTCCACAGCAGCCTTCACAGAGCTATAGCACTCCACAGCAGTCTTCACAGACCTATAGTGCTCCACGGCAGCCTTCACAGAGCTATAGTGCTCCAACGCAGCCTTCACAGAGCTATAGTGCTCCACAGCAGTCTTCACAGAGCTACAGTGCTCCACAGCAGCCTTCACAGAGCTATAGTGCTCCAAAGCAGCCTTCACAGAGCTTTGGTGCTCCACAGATTTACGGACCTCCCAAAGAATCTCGGCAAAAACCGTTGCAACAGTACACTGCTCCTCAAGAGAGTCGGAAAAACGGTTACAGTGGCCAACAGAGCAACGGAGGTGGGTACAATGACCAACAGAACAACGGAGGTGGCTACGGTGGCCAACAGAACAACGGAGGTGGCTACGGTGGCCAACAGAACAACGGAGGTGGCTACGGTGGCCAACAGAACAACGGAGGTGGCTACGGTGGCCAACAGAACAACGGAGGTGTCCTTAATGTTGCAGATCACAAGGTTCTTATTTTCAACTTAATATGTGATTTAAATGATTATTATATATATATATATATATATATATTATATATATATATATATATATATATATATATATATATATATATATATATATATTATCAATGTTTCACTTAATTTCTAAGTTTAGGTTAGAGTACTGTACATTAGGTTAGAGTACTGTACGTTAGGTTAGAGTACTGTACGTTAGGTTAGAGTACTGTACGTTAGGTTAGAGTACTGTACATTAGGTTAGAGTACTGTACATTAGGTCAGAGTACTGTACATTAGGTCAGAGTACTGTACATTAGGTTAGAGTACTGTACATTAGGTTAGAGTACTGTACATTAGGTTAGAGTACTGTACATTAGGTTAAAGTACTGTACATTAGGTTAGAGTACTGTACATTAGGTCAGAGTACTGTACATTAGGTTAGAGTACTGAACATTAGGTTAGAGTACTGTACATTAGGTCAGAGTACTGTACATTAGGTTAGAGTACTGTACATTAGGTTAGAGTACTGTACATTAGGTTAGAGTACTGTACATTAGGTCAGAGTACTGTACATTAGGTTAGAGTACTGTACATTAGGTCAGAGTACTGTACATTAGGTTAGAGTACTGCACATTAGGTTAAAGTACTGTACATTAGGTTAAAGTACTGTACATTAGGTTAGAGTACTGTACATTAGGTTAAAGTACTGTACATTAGGTTAGAGTACTGTACATTAGGTTAAAGTACTGTACATTAGGTTAGAGTACTGTACATTAGGTTAAAGTACTGTACATTAGGTTAAAGTACTGTACATTAGGTTAGAGTACTGTACATTAGGTTAAAGTACTGTACATTAGGTTAAAGTACTGTACATTAGGTTAAAGTACTGTACATTAGGTTAAAGTACTGTACATTAGGTTAGAGTACATTAGAGTGAATTAGGTTAAGAGTAGATTAAGTTAAGAGTACATATATTAAATTACATAAAACAACAAAACAGTATAACCACATTCAGTGAGAATTCATCTGCTTGTCGCAACTGTATACCATTAACACCATTATATACCATTAACACCATTATATATCATTACTATCCCATAAATACAATAACCGAGTAAATAATGGTGTTCCAGGGAATGCCATACGGGTTTGACTACTCGGTTAACGATGTGGACTCAGGGGCAGACTTCTCACAGAAAGAATCTTCTGACGGGACTGTGGTGAAGGGGGAGTACAGAGTACAGCTTCCTGACGGCCGGCTCCAGATTGTTACCTACACTGCTGACCATCACAGCGGCTACACTGCTGACGTTCGGTGAGTGAACAGATATACTACTGACAGTGAGAGGCTATATTACAGTGAGAGGCTATATTACAGACAATGACAGGCTATATTACAGTGAGAGGCTATATTACAGACAATGACAGGCTATATTACAGTGAGAGACTATATTACTGACAGTGAGAGGCTATATTACTGACAGTGAGAGGCTATATTACTGACAGTGAGAGGCTATATTACTGACAGTGAGAGGCTATATTACTGACAGTGAGAGGCTATATTACAGTGAGAGGCTATATTACTGACAGTGAGAGGCTATATTACTGACAGTGAGAGGCTATATTACTGACAGTGAGAGGCTATAATACTGACAGTGAGAGGCTATAATACTGACAGTGAGAGGCTATATTACAGTGAGAGGCTATATTACTGACAGTGAGAGGCTATATTACTGACAGTGAGAGGCTATATTACTGACAGTGAGAGGCTATATTACTGACAGTGAGAGGCTATATTACTGACAGTGAGAGGCTATATTACTGACAGTGAGAGGCTATATTACTGACAGTGAGAGGCTATATTACAGTGAGAGGCTATATTACTGACAGTGAGAGGCTATATTACAGTGAGAGGCTATATTACTGACAGTGAGAGGCTATATTACTGACAGTGAGAGGCTATATTACTGACAGTGAGAGGCTATATTACTGACAGTGAGAGGCTGTATTACAGTGAGAGGCTATATTACAGTGAGAGGCTATATTACTGACAGTGAGAGGCTATATTACTGACAGTGAGAGGCTATATTACTGACAGTGAGAGGCTATATTACTGACAGTGAGAGGCTATATTACTAACAGTGAGAGGCTATATTACTGACAGTGAGAGGCTATATTACTGACAGTGAGAGGCTATATTACTGACAGTGAGAGGCTATATTACTGACAGTGAGAGGCTATATTACTGACAGTGAGAGGCTATATTACTGACAGTGAGAGGCTATATTACTGACAGTGAGAGGCTATATTACTGACAAACAGTGAGTTACTACTTTCAAACGTGTATAGAATGCAATCCTGTTAATTTTCTTTGCACTTTGGCAGGACTGCTTATTTTTTCTTTGTCTCGTAAACACGTAAGATGATAGGAAAATCTTTGTGTTATAAACTAGCCACTACCATCCACAGGATAGATATGAGGTGCACAATAAACTGGCCTCTACCATCCACAGGATAGATATGAGGTGCACAATAAACTAGCCACTATCATCCACAGGATAGATATGAGGTGCACAATAAACTAGCCACTACCATCCACAGGATAGATATGAGGTGCACAATAAACTAGCCACTACCATCCACAGGATAGATATGAGGTGCACAATAAACTAGCCACTACCATCCACAGGATAGATATGAGGTGCACAATAAACTAGCCACTACCATCCACAGGATAGATATGAGGTGCACAATAAACTAGCCACTACCATCCACAGGATAGATATGAGGTGCACAATAAACTAGCCACTACCATCCACAGGATAGATATGAGGTGCACAATAAACTAGCCACTACCATCCACAGGATAGATATGAGGTGCACAATAAACTAGCCACTACCATCCACAGGATGAATATGAGGTACACAAACTGGCCTCTACCATCCACAGGATAGATATGAGGTGCACATTAAACTGGCCTCTACCATCCACAGGATGGATATGAGGTACACAATAAACTGACCTCTACCATCCACAGGATAGATATGAGGTGCACAATAAACTAGCCACTATCATCCACAGGATGGATATGTGATGCACAATAAACTAGCCACTACCATCCACAGGATGGATATGTGATGCACAGTAAACTAGCCACTACCATCCACAGGATGGATATGAGGTACACAATAAACTAGCCACTACCATCCACAGGATGGATATGAGGTACACAATAAACTAGCCACTACCATCCACAGGATGGATATTAGGTACACAGTAAACTAGCCACTACCATCCACAGGATGGATATGAGGTACACAATAAACTAGCCACTACCATCCACAGGAGAGATATTAGGTACACAATAAACTAGCCACTACCATCCACAGGATGGATATGTGATGCACAGTAAACTAGCCACTACCATCCACAGGATGGATATGAGGTACACAATAAACTAGCCACTACCATCCACAGGATGGATATTAGGTACACAGTAAACTAGCCACTACCATCCACAGGATGGATATGAGGTACACAATAAACTAGCCACTACCATCCACAGGAGAGATATTAGGTACACAATAAACTAGCCACTACCATCCACAGGATGGATATGTGATGCACAGTAAACTAGCCACTACCATCCACAGGATGGATATGAGGTACACAATAAACTAGCCACTACCATCCACAGGATGGATATGAGGTACACAATAAACTAGCCACTACCATCCACAGGATGGATATTAGGTACACAGTAAACTAGCCACTACCATCCACAGGATGGATATGAGGTACACAATAAACTAGCCACTACCATCCACAGGAGAGATATTAGGTACACAATAAACTAGCCACTACCATCCACAGGATGGATATGTGATGCACAGTAAACTAGCCAAATCATAAAATCAACCACTATGACGGCAAAATCTATAATTTTCAATATAATTAATTCCTATTTTTAATGTTTAAGGTACGAAGGAGAAGCACAGTATCCAAAAGGGAACTCTGGCAGTGGCAGTTGGAGTAACAACGGAGGTAACGGTTACGCTAATGAGCAACAGAATACTAACGCCGGTGGCTATGGTAGACAACAGAACGAAGGTGGAAGCAGCTTTAGCGCACAACTGAATAACGAAAGGAGTAATGCCTTTGGAGGAAAGCAGGGCATTGGAAGTAGCAGTGGCTATGGCAACAGCAGAAGGGGCAGCAGTAGCTTCTTAGGGAGAACAGATGAGGCGCAGATACCGTCTCAGACTTACAGATCACCACAGCAAGACCCTCCACAGCTCTCACAGAGTTACGGTCCACCACAGCAAGACCCTCCACAGCTCTCACAGAGTTACGGTCCACCACAGCAAGACCCTCCACAGCTCTCACAGAGTTACGGTCCACCACAGCAAGACCCTCCACAGCTCTCACAGAGTTACAGTCCACCACAGCAAGACCCTCCACAGCTCTCACAGAGTTACGGTCCACCACAGCAACAACTCTCACAGAGTTATGGACCACCAACATAATCAACAGAAAATAGAATAATATTTAGAATCTAAGACTTATCGATTTATTCAAGTCAGGCAACAGTCACATTCAGTCAGCAGTCAGGCAGCAGTTACATTTAGACGACAGTCAGGCAGTAGTTACATTTAGTCAAGTCAGTAGTTACATTTAGTCAACAGTCAGGCATCAGTTACGTTTTACCATCTCTCTTTAGGCTTCTATTATCAAAATATTAATTAAATCAGTATGGTGTAAATAATAGCACGATAGATACCAAGACAGACATTGCAAGAAAAGGTTTTATTACGATACTTCGAGACGCTGTCTGCAGAGTTTCACTGTGTTTCGCTCTGTAAAGATCAAGTTATAACCTGGTAAGACTCTACACAGAGTGAAACGTTTTCCTAACTAAAGCATGTTTACCCCCCCGTACATGAATGTTATTCTGTTTTTAAACCTTCCTGGTGTAACTTAATTACGATGGAAATAAATAGTATAAAATACCGACACAATGGAAATATAAACACATATGCAGTATAATGTGATCCTTTATTGACTACGTTTCGCCCACACAGTGAGCTTTTTCAAGTCACAGATCTACCTGGGGTGGAAGGGACGCGAGTATTTATAGTCAGGTTCAGAATTCAGCATTCTGAACCTGAATATTTGTGACCTGAAAAAGCTCACTGTGTGGGCGAAACGTAGTCAATAAAGGATCACATTATACTGCATATGTGTTTATATTTCCGTAACTTAATTACGTTATGTCTCAGTTACGTGATCTCTGACAGTTACCTCTCAGTTACGTGATCTCTGACAGTTACCTCTCAGTTCGTAATCTCTCTGACAGTTACCTCTCAGTTACGTAATCTCTCTGACAGTTACCTCTCAGTTACGTAATCTCTCTGACAGTTACCTCTCAGTTATTATTATTATAATCAAAAAGAAGCGCTAAGCCACAAGGACTATACAGCTACCTCTCAGTTACGTAATCTCTCTGACACATCTTAGACAATGTTATCTCTCAGACGTATTAAGAAGCCACTGCTGTTCGTTTAGAGACGCTAGACTACTGTACTTAGCTCCTGATCAATATCTAACCAAGATAGGACTCTAAAAGGATAGATTCAAGGAGGAGAATTTTGGGTTTAGAGAGCAAATAGGGGAGTACTAATTTGGCAATAGAATTGTAAGTAGAAGAAACGTCCCGGTAGTATCACTGAGGCAAGAATATTAGGGCGTTTTAAAAATGGTTGAACGGGTATATGAGTAAGTGTGAGTTTGAAATGCCTAGCACTGGCAAATAGGCCAGTTGCGGTTTTCCTTCAAATTTGTTCTTGTGTACTTAGTTAGGAACTCCTATGATTTCCAGGGAAGTTTTAAGACACGTGAGTAAACACTAGGATATTTTAAACAAGTTTCGGTCCTGAGACCTTGATCAAGGTCCCAGGACCGAAACGTTTCCTAATAAATGTCCTAATATCTGCTCTCGTGTGTTTTTATAACCAGGCTGTTCGTATCATTTATTGGTATCATTTACCAATATTTATACCATAATGTCCGATTTCCAGGGACTCTTCAATTCAGTAAGTGAGGCTACCCTCCCCTACCACTGATGAATCCTGATGACCTTCCAGTCCTCAGAGCTAAAGCCTCGTTGGTTTAGCTTCTCCTCGCCGATAAAACCAAGTACTGATCTGTAAGAGTGGTGTAATACTGGTGATCAATAAGAGCGTTATTGAAGTTAGGCTTGTTTAAAATACAAACATTTCGACAGGGACAGTAGTGGAAACACAAACACATATGCAGTTTAATGTGATCCTTTATTGACAACGTTTCACCCACACAATGGCCTTTTTCAAGTCACAAACAGATCTACCTGGGGTGGAAGGTACGGGAGTATTTATAGTCAGGTTCAGAATGTTGAGGTCAGGTGGAGAATGTTGAAGTCAGGTTCAGAATGTTGAGGTCAGGTGGAGAATGCTGCATCTGATCTACCGGGTGGGGTTATATAGTCTAAAATCTTGATCTGATGATCTACCCCACCCGATAGATCATCAGATGCAGCATTCTCCACCTGACCTCAACATTCTGAACCTGACTATAAATACTCACGTACCTTTCACCCCAGGTAGATCTATTTATGACTTGAAAAAGCCCAATGTGTGGGCGAAACGTTGTCAATAAAGGATCACATTAAACTGCATATGTGTTTGTGTTTCCATTGTGTCGGTATTTTATACCATTTATTTTCATCAGGCACAGTAGTGCGAGACAGCCTAGCAAGTCTGTGCTGGAACAATGTTTCGAACAGATGAGAGAAACGTTGAGTCAAACAAGACTGCTACGTATACTCGACAATGCTTAATTAAATGTTAATGGAGTTTAAAGCCTATCTATTTTACGAGGGTTATTAATGATTAATGGGGTATAAAGTCTACTAAACGGGGGTCATTAAGGCTGCATGTCACCGGTTAACCTCCAGTCAACAAGATTAAAGTCAACTCTCATGGTATATACACTGGTATATATACCTCTCACTGTACATTTCTTGTGATGTAAACCAAGATATATAACAACGTACTATACAAATGTACTATTAACATACAAGATTAGCAGTGTACATAATTTCAAAGCGTATTTTATTTTAGTGCCAAAAGTACGTTAAATTAATTAATATAATGTTATATGCGTATATAATTTAGGTAAAAACATATTTTAAATTAACTGCGTAGTGATAAATATATATATATATATATATATATATATATATATATATATTAACAGACACATTTTTGTAAATCATAGATTATTTTTATAACTCAGAAAATGGTAACAACACGGCTGCAAACAGTCGAGTGAGTTTTACGACTCACCATAGGCTCAAACCCCACCCGTTCCGTGGTTTGATTATATTTCTACAAATACATATTTCAAAATCTTAAGTTATATATTTGTTTGGTATACTCGTCATAAGTATGGTGGTCCACCTCCGGGTGAAGGTATGAGGACCCTTAGCCTCGGGGAAGTCAATAAGGCCGCAGAGAAAAATATTAATATTTCTCCACGAGACTTAATATTGTATTACATAAGAACATAAGAAAGGAGGAACACTCCAGCAGGCCTATTGGCCCATGCTAGGCAGGTCCTTTGCAATTCACCGCTCACACTCTTATCTTTTATAGAAATAAAGATCACTATGAAGGGTATTAGTCTGGCGAAGAGTAAGTTTGAGGTCTAAGGAACACAAGGTGTTGTTATTATTATTAAAATCAAGGGGGAAGCGCTAAACCCGGAGGATTACACAGCGCCTGGGGGGGATGTGGAAGGCATTCAGGCTTAATTCGGGGGACTGGAGCACAGATCCAATTCCCTAAATCAAGAGCCCCTCACCAACATCAAGGAACCTTCCTTGAGGGGAGATGGTGTTGTTAAGATTAGGGAGACTGAAATACTGGGAAGGGCAAAGAACAGATTTCACAGGAGTAGAGAGTTGGGGAGAAAGGAAAGAACAGGAATAAGCTGGACAAATTGTATGCTATGCAGCTATAAAATAAATCTGTTTACAAAACAAAGAATGTATAATTTTATTTAGACCGTTAATAGATTAAACACCGTGGGTAATAAAAAGAGGACTTAACAGGTTTATATACACCGGAAAGTGTAAGGAGAGGAGGAGTTTGAGGTAATCAGTCCCTCAGCCTGGAGTCGATGGTTCAGTCCATCAGTCTTGTAGAATGTACAGCAAAGGGCCCTCAGGCTGAGGGAATGATTGTTAAATTACACACATGTGCAACTCTTGGGTATCTTTACTGAGGAAACGTTTCGCCACACAGTGGCTTCATCAGTCCATACAAAGGATAAACTTGAAGAACAGGAGGAGAATGAGGTAATCAGTCCCTCAACCTTGAGTCGATGTGGTCAGTCCATCAATCTTGAACAGAATACGGCATATGAGCGGAGAAGTAGCTTATAAACCGTAGCAGCGGTAGGTGGTGTTACCCAAGAGTTGCACCTGTGTCTAATTTAACATGTCGGTTCTTTGAACCATTCAACTACAATCCTGTCAGACACTGCAACTTCTTGGGATCTTAATACTTGGGAATTCTTCGCTTGCCTAACCCTTGGGCACGACCTACTTCCACATTGGTCAAACGTAACACCACCTACGACTGCTGCACCTCTCCTGCCATACGGTTTATAAGCTACGTCTCCGCTCATATGCCGTATTCTATTCAAGATTGATGGACTGAACACATCGACTCAAGGTTGAGGGACTGATTACCTCATTCTCCTCCTGTTCTTCAAGTTTCTCCTTTGTATGGACGGATGAAGCCACTGTGTGGCGAAACGTTTCCTCAATAAAGATACCCAAGAGTTGCACACGTGTCTAATTTACAACGTGTCGGTTCTCCGAACCATTCATCTACAAACGAGGGAGTGATTACCTCAAACTCCTCCTCTCCTTACACCTATCTACTTTGTATTGGACACCGGAAAGTATATACTACCACACTGTATACCATGATGTATAACACTAAGAGGTATTTATCCAAAATAAGTAATGGACAATTCTCAACGACTAAATACAAAAATGAATGGAGACATTGTACTTGCTATATTTATGGACCACGGTTCGAGTCCCAGTTCATTCTTCAAACCTCACAGTGGGCAAGAATTATGTTAAGGCCTTACTGAATATCGGGGGTTCAATCCCCGGAAGGGTGAAAACATTAAGTTAAATGGCATTGACTTAAATGGTGGCTAAAGTTCCCGCTTCACACACGGAGGGCCCGGGTTCGATTCCCGGCGGGTGGAAACATTTCGACACGTTTCCTTACACTACTGTCCTGTTCACCTAGCAGCAAATAGGTACCTGGGTGTTAGTCGACTGGTGTGGGTGGCATCCTGGGGGACAAGACTGAGGACCCCAATGGAAATAAGTTAGACAGTCCTCGATGACGCACTGACTTTCTTGGGTTATCCTGGGTGGCTAACCCTCCGGGGTTAAAAATCCGAA